GATTGTGTGAGTAAAACCTTCGTGAGAGGAATAAAACTAAACAAGGAATAACAAAAATTCCGAAATGTCGAGTTTTTTTTTTGAAATAAAACTGGTTCCTTTTCAATTTTGTTTTTTTGCTTTTTTTTCTTCCCTTTTTTTTTGTTTTTTTTTGCTTGCTTTTTTTTTGCTTTTTTTTTAAACTGCAGGAACTTTTTTTTTTTTACAAATAGATGATTTGAATTTAGGAAAAAAAAATAAGTAGAAGTATAAAGATATATAGAACCTCGATCTGGAACCTGTGCTCTGATACCAAATGATGTGAACCTCGCGGAACTAGTCACGAAACCCGACAACAATATATGAAACAAAGTAAGATCGGCCAAGATAAAGGTTTTGGTGATGGATGGAATATCGACCCACTATCTATAAAGAGATAGAAACCGATATTATAGGAAAAGTGAAATATTGACTCGCTATCTATAAAGAGAGATAGAAACCAATATTATAAAGTAAAGGAATATTGACCCGCTAGGAACCAATATTATAAAAGTTTAAGAACTACAAGCAAAGATTTGCAATTCTTAAAGCAAAGTTCAAAACGAACAAGTTGGAGAATAATCTCACAAGTTTCTTAATCTCAAAATGTGTCCCTAAACCAAGCATAACAATAGGTTTATATAGGTAAAAGAAAACTTAGGAAATAAGAAAACAATAAAAGTGTCTTCCTTGAAATCAACCATGGTAGTTAAGTTGACTTCAAGTAACGAGACGCGTGATTTCGAGGCTTGTAAATGAAGTCAATCTTTTGTAATCACCAACATCATCCTCGACTCTCGTATGTTGACTCTCGAAATACGCTCTTTGCTTTGACTGATCGCCCATAAATTCTGCAATGTTTTCCCGAAGTTCTTGGCTCGTGCTCCCGAGATCGGCTCAATCGGAACGTAAAGCTCATCCTCATGCTCGTTATTGGAATTTGTCCTTGAGCTCATATCAGTGTAGGAATGCATGCATACACTTACATAAGGTTTTTCCTCTCAAAGGTTTGGCCGGATGACGATGTGGGGGGACATAGAGTGAGGATTGGCTTTGAAAGGTTTTAGGAGCTAAGTTTAGATTTATTTAAAGAGTTGAATGGATTGTCGAGTGAGGTAGAAATAGCTGATCCAATCCTAGAGCGAATGAATGTCACATGGGATGATTTTGTCTCCTAAAGTCTAGATGGAGTAGAGGTTACGAACCAAGCGCGAAACGTCTCCCTAAAAACCACCCTCTGATCCCTAAGTTAGGAAGCCTATATGAAGCAACAAGTCCTAGAAAATACGATGCATCCCGACACTCCTCTATCATCAACTCGTTAATGAAAATCATTCGGGGACATGAGTGCGTCGAAAACGAAGGCTCGGGTCTAAGTTGTGGGACAAGGACATAAAAAAAAAAAGAGAAAAGAGTGAACTTCTCAAATTCCAACGTCCTAGAAACCCGGGATTGCATCATATGAAGAAAAAAAAGAAGAGGAAAGAAAGAAAAAGAAAAAGAACACAAAAACACGAATAAAAAGGAAAGATATGGGGCAAGGAAAAACAACGGAGTTATAGGCTAAGTAACTTTTGGAGACCTCATTTGGGATGTGTTTAGGAGACATGCTCGGCAAGTAGGATTTACTCCATTTTTAGGCCGCAGGAAGCAATAAAAATCCCATTGATAGACTTTCGCTTGAATGTTGGAAAAGATAGAGTATACCGAACCGGATTTCATTCGCAGCAATTTGAACCCGGATAACCAACCCACTCTAAACCCCCATTTGTTCTCCGACTATATCTTATCACCCCTTGGATAGTTTTATAACTGCACATTTACTCGAGGACGAGCAAACCCCAAATCTGGGGGGATTTGATGACACAGGTTTTTCACCGGTTTTATAACGTCGTGCATCACAATTCTTCTCACATTCTAGGCATCATAGGACGTTAGATGGCCATGAGTAGGTTTTTTTTCCTGTTTTTCCTTGCAGGAAGACTCCACGATGAATCCTCACGAAGTGGGCACGAAAGAACAAGAATTCGAGAATGCTCGTGTGACACCCGTAACCCGTGTACAGTATACGGGCTGTGCCACATGGACAATAGTAATAAAATAATAATAATGCGGAAGCAAAAATACGAAATCCAAAAAACATTTTAAATAAACCAGAGTAAGCAGCGGAAAATACAACAGGCGATTAGTATCGCAAAATAACACATGTCCGAATAGTTATAATTTAACCGTACAAAATGCGGGAAATACAAGTCTCGTAACCCAAAATGTAAATCCCGTACATGATGCTGCCTCTCTCAGGTCGTCGTCTGCCGGATGCGCTAGGCGTAATCCTCGTGATCTAAAAAATATAAACCACGAGGGCTAAGCACAACTGCTTAGTGAGTAGCCCGGGTTGAACCCGGAAATCCCGTTCCCAACGAGAACGGTACAGTCGACATTTCCATAAAGAAAACACATGCAATAAGTAAAAACACGGTAAGCACGTAAATAGCAATCACAATCACGCCCGTATGGAGTCCACCATAGGGCTTAGCCGTATACCCTGGTCAAGTCCATGACCAGGGGCGAATCCACGCCCGTCACTTGCGTGACGTTGGCCATCGCATCGCATGCGATCGTGCGCGTCTCCTGCGCCTGTCACTCTCGTGACTACCGATGTCAAGTCCATGACACAACGGAAATATAATCATACCCGTATGGAGTCCACCATAGGGTCCAGCCATATACCCTAGTCAAGTCCATGACTAGGTGCGAGTCCACGCCCGTCAAATCTATGACGTTGGCCGTCGTCTTGCACACGACTAAAACGCGTCTCAAACGCCCGTCAAGTCCATGACGGTGATGGTTGAGTCTACCACCATCCACAAACACAATCACGCTTAACTCGTACGCACGAGCAAGCTACACACATGGCACACAACGTGCAACATCCCCATAGTACAACCATATGTATCACGACATCCGGTCCCTACCGAGCTACCGTTTAACGCCATGCAAATTCTACCCGCATACAATCACACAACGATCACTCGTATTTCGATATCGCACATCTCACTATGCTACGCAATGTTCTGGCAAAACTCGGTCCGATTGATCCCAATCGCGAAGTCTTATCCTCTAGTGGGGGTTGGTTTGTCCACGCTCAAGTCTGGTCAGGCTCGGGCCAATCCCGTTGGCCGTTTCCTTTTTCCCGGTCGAAATCAGATTTTCCTCCCATTTTTCTCGGATCTTGGTCCGGCGGACCAAGTTCTGGTCAGCCGGACCAGTCTTCTTTCTCCCCTGGTCCGCTCCGTCCCTTGGTCAGTCGGTCCGAGAGGGAAAACAAGCCTTGTCCGGCGGACCAGGATTGGTCAGCCCCGGACGAGCCTGTTCTTCCCCTATCTCGGTCCGGTTCTTGGTCAGGCGAGGAAGTTCGGTCTGGTCTATGTGTCGTTTAGGACTGGTCGGTCCCGGACCAGACGCCTCTTTCCCCTTTGGTCCGTTCCTTCTCGGTCAGCCGGTGTGCGGAAAATCTCGGAACACGTCTGGTCCGGCGGACCAGGATGTGTTTTCTCTTGGTTCGGTCCGTTTCCTTGGTCCGGTCTGAGTTCGCGTGTTGTTCCAGTCTCGGTCCGGAGCTGACCACGCCTGGTCCGGCGGACCGGGACTGGAACTTTCTTCTCCCTCGCGATTTCTCCGATTCTGTTTCGATTTTTCTCTCCCGAATCGATTCGGGGTTGCTTCTAAATGCTACTAAAACACAGTTTGACATCCCTAAACATGTTCCAAATCTCAAACACGCAATGAAATCTCGATTTGGACCATCACACATTGAGAACAAGATCTCACAAATCCAACTCAAGCCACTCACCTTGTTCTTGAGTTTGTCCGAGCTTGTGTGCGTTCCTCGTGGCTCCACACGACGTGAACACCTTCAGGACACGTCTAGGGACGTTCCCCCTTGCTTCCCCGAGCTCTCCTTGTCCTGGTTCGTCGCCTTTCTCTCCCTCTCTCCCTCTTTCTCTACTTCCTCTGTTTTGCCCGAAAATGGCTAAGGCAGAGGATTGGGAGATGTTTATGGCGTGCGAGAGGGATCAAGTGGGCTCGAGCCCAGGCCCATAGGCGAGCTTGCAACACCCTCGAGGCGTGGGAGGCGACTGGACGGCGAGTGGGCCCCGGAATCCGGCTAATTCCGCGTCCCAAGGCGGCAAGTTGACAAGTTGCGGAATCTGTTATTCCCGGTCCGCCGGACCAACTTCCTGGTCCGCCGGACCGGGGTCAGTTTATTTTTTTTTCGAAAACTTCTCCCAGTCCGCGCTGTCCAGTCCCCACTCCGGCTGAGCGGTTGGTCCGCCGCGGACCACTCCTGGTCCGGCAGACCAACCCTGTTTTTTTTTTTCCTTTTCTTCATTCTTTCTCGGTCCTTCCTGCACGTGACGATCCTCGTTCCTCTCCCCGATATTGTACCATCACTTTTGG